GGGAGGAAGGTTGAGACCCACAAAACATATGTTAATCACACATCCTGCATGGCCATTTCCCCTTTTGATTTATTTGAATTCTTTCAAATAAACGAGAACACTGACCAAGCACAAAAAGCTGTGGAGCATGAGCTTTCTTTAAAAACAGTTCTATTACCAATCCACATCTAAGCAATACAAGCCAACCACGTTCCGTGACTGCCAAGCCCTTCTCTAAGGCAACCTACAGGCCATTCTTCCAGACTCCACTCTACTCATTTCACCTGAGTCTATTCCAGGGCAACCCAAGCTAAGGTTGATCCCTTCTCTGACCAGCAGCAAACTGGTCTCCATCAGACTTCTTACCATTCTCCCTAGTAACATCTACATGCTTTTTTCTAGCACAGAAGGAAAAGAACAGCCATGCAGCTGAACTGCCAGAACCTACCTTTGGCAAGAAATCTCTCTAGATGCTTCTGAATGCAGGAGGGAGTAAAGACAGCATTGCTGAAGAAGGATGTCACTGCTGGTCCACGTGTCAACAACCTAGGAAACGATAAAGCACAGCTGCTTAACTGCCTTGCCCGTGGGAAATCAACTGCAAGAAGAAAGCTGCATTATTTTCACAGTTATACCATGCTAATGGCTCCTATGCAAACAACGCACAGCTACAACGTTTTATAATTGCACATCAGAGTTGCTCTGCAGACATCCCTCCGGTATGTCAGAAATTCAATACGTGATGGTAGGCGGCAATGAGCACCTCGGGGATTTAAAGCGCATTCCAAGCCGTGAGTCATCGCCATCTCCAAGTCGTGGAAATTTAAAAAAAAAAAAGAAAAAGAAAAAGGAAAAAAACAGAGGGAAGAAAAACACACGCATGCAGCGCGCTGACCACTCTCACGCGCTCTCGCTGTGCAATAGAACAGCTTCCCCCTAAAGCATTTCCCTTTTAGTGCTGAAAGATTTCCATGAAGGAGAAACCACTGATTCCACATCAAAATAAATTTTAAAAATTAAAATAAAATAGAGGAAAAAAAAAAACAACAACAATTGCACAGCAGCCTTCTTCCAAAGAGCCCCCAGGGACGTGCGGGACGCACGCTGTGGGAGCAGAGCTGCCCTCACCACCCTGTGAGCCCCTCACTGCCTGCAGAAGGGCGCAGTCCCCCCACCAAGCACCAGAAGCTATTCTGAAGGATGCTTCTGCAGTGCCTGGTGAGATTTCAGGTCACACGTGCGCTCCCCTCCCTGAGCTCCTCCCGAGGATCCTCAGGTTCCTTCAATCTGTTTAATTCCTCAGCCTTTATTTTGGGGGCAGACGGTGTGTGGGAGCATCCCAGCCACCAAGCAGCAGCCAAAGGGCCACAGGAAAACAGCAATAATAGTCCCACATCTGCTGTTTCCTGCTCCGCAGCAAAAAAGTTGGAAGAACAATGGATACCTTTAGCTGGGATACCCTGCTCTGAGAACATTTAGACCTCACCACAAACGTTAAGAACTAGAAGAAAAGAAGTGTGATTGCTCCTTGTTCCTTCTCGCACAGGTTGATGCATCCTGGAGGAACAGCAAGACTCACTAATGTTCTGGGACCATTAATCTCAGAGATCTTGCCAAGAGCAAGCAGCCAGGCAGCTTAAAAATATATTTAGTCCACAAATGCTTATTAACGTCATTTGCTGATTCACAGCTGAGCCAGTTGCACGGGGCACAAATGCCACTTCTGCTTTGCCAGCCTGGGTGAAAGACTGTCACAACAGCTGGATATCAGGTGGCTGAGCCCATCTCAGAACCAACCACCACGCAGCCAGAAGCCCTGAGTGTACCTGGGCTATGATGGGAACAGCCCACCAGGCCGACACACATCTGAGCAAGCTTTGCTATTCTTAACGTTATGCAATAATTTGTGCCAGAACTGATGAATCCAGGGTGTGATGCCCATTCCACGCTTCTTTTCACGAGGCGGATGCAGATGCTGGCTATGCTAGGCAAAGGAACGTGTACCACACTCAAAGTCTTGAAGTCAGCACAGAGCTCCATCTGCCCAGCCCCTCACTGAGCAGGGCAGGGACTCGAGGGCTCAGAAAAGTGTCAATGTTCAGCTGACACATCATGGGGCTGCTCAAAGGTTCTACGTCAGGCATCGATATCAACATGCAAGGTACACACAAAGACTCCTTGAGGAAAGCAATCTCCCTTCTTAATTTTTTTGTTTCAGGGTTGGGTCTTCCTTTTTTTTTTCTTTTTTTTTTTTTCTGTAGACTGGGGAAAGATGACAAACTTTCTTATTTTCAGTGACAGCATGTCTGAAATGATTGCTCCAAACGGAAGGACAGGTCTGTATCTGCTTGCTAGTCATACTGAAATCAAAAGCGATTAAAAGCAAAAGCTTTTATGAGCAACAGAAACTGAAAGTACTCCCTTTGGAAAAATGTAAAGAGCAGCATTTTCTCTGCAGTAAGCAGCAGATAATGAATGCAGCCTGGGACACTGACACATTTATACAACCTGTTTGCTGGAACAGTCATACAATTCACCTTTGCTGTATGTTTGGCTCAGCACATCACTGCAGTTTGCAGAGGTTTCACCGATGCCACTGCTGCTTTTATTTATAAGAGCCAGAAAAGCTTATCAATCCTAAATTTAACTTTCAGTATTATATTCCAATCCTAAATATCAAAATAAAAATCAATCTGTTTCAGATTAATAACAATTAACCCTGACTGTGTTTCAGGTGTTTCGTGATAACTGGTAATCAAACACAGTTACTACTGCTTGTTTTGTTATTGCATTGCTGAAACCCGAGGGCACGTCTGTCCAAAACAAACCGTCAGGACAAATCAACCCAACAAAAACGTGTGTAAGTTCTGAGTTAATGCAAGAGTTCCCAGAGGAGCACTTTTATAATGGGTCAGTAGCAAGTGCTGATCATTACAGACTTTCTCCCACCCTCCCAAGGACCTGGGGCAAGCATCTCTCCAAGGAAGGTGTGGGGAGCTGGGGCAGCCCCAGACCAGACCCATGCAATGATCACATCAGCACTGCAGCAGCACGATGCACATTGCAAGGCAAACCAGAGTGCAGCTGTGAGCAGACAGTATCACAGCAAACACATTTTGGGGGAAGACGAGGCGTCACCCAGCAAGCAGCTCCTGTTTAGTACAAGTGTTGAAAAAGCACTACACTAACAGAACTGGCATTTACCTTTCTGAGGAGGACGATTACAAGATGCTTTCTGCTGGCTTCTGAAGGCTCGTCTGCTTAACCAGCACGCTGCACTTCAGTTATCAGCCCTCTCTCCCAGTAGGACCAGTTACAGCCACCTCTAAGGCACTTCCCACCAGCAGGGCAGGCAGAGCTCCCACCTGGCTGCAGCCGGAGCACACGCCATGGTGGCAGCCACAGAGCAGCATATGCTGGCCCTGTGCTCAGGAGCAGAGCCCTGCGTAACCCAGATGCATCCACATGCACAGCAGGTCCTGTCCTAGGAAACACCCAGGGTCAAAACTGTTCCTAGCAAGCACCACAGATTGTTCAGCTCAGCCTCCTGCTCCCTACTACCTGCACTAAGTACTCAGCCCTGACTCACATCAGCTGTGGTTGCACACACATGGTCCTGATTTGCAGGCATCAGCTTCAGACCACAGGTAGTCACACCAGCCCTCCATGCTCAGGGAAGGTGTTTTCCATTCCCACAACAGTTACTTACCCTAAAACAATAAGGGGATATAAATGAGCAACTAAAAAGCAACGAACCGGAGAGAAATAATATCAGAACCCTGAATAACTCTGCAATCAAATGAAAAGGCTCCAGGATGTGCCAGGCAGCAGAGAGAATTAATGAACACAAGATAAACAGAGCAGTTAACGAGAAAATCTGAGCGGCTCAGGAAGGCACCTGGATAAATCTGCCCCTGCCTGATGCTGCAGTATCTGCACCCCCGGAGCACCTGGTGTAGGCCTTGCTGCAAGGAGAACACTGCATGAGTGGAAACAGAAAAGGAGGAGGAGAAAAGGCCTCCTGGTGGGCTCAGCACCTGCTTATGTTAAAGGCACTGCTTTGTGCATGAGGATGCTGTCACCCCTGGAAAGATTGCTAAGCAAATCAGCCAGATCCAGATCTCTGCATCCTGCTTTCAGGAGGACTTTTCCCCCCCCAAAAAAATCTATTTTAATTCAACCAATTTCATTTCTATCACTTCCCGTATCGATAGGGTAATTAACAAAGCAAAGTTAGTCGGCTATGCAGCATTTCCCCTTAAATAAAACAGCTCAAGAAATAATATACCCCTTAATCCCTACTTCACAGCCAGAAAAGAAACACCGTGTGTTAGAAACACGCACAAAGAGGGTTCAAAATCCATCCTGCAGACCTTGCTGGAAGGCTGTCCTTGCCAACGAAGCCCACAATCCATGATAATTCTCAGCATCATGCTTTTATCCTCCGTTTTATGAGAGCTCATCTGCTGATCAATGAGGAGCCCCATGGAATAGCACTTTGAATTTCAATGTCAACACAGCAGTACTGTGGTAATGATTGAAAATATTTACATATTGCCTCATTGATCGTGAGGAGCTCTTTTCCAACCATCTGGCTACTGGGCACTCATTTTTTTTTTTTTTTTCCTCAGGGTTTTAAACTGTTATCTGAACATCTTTGGAGCTCGCATCCAGCATCACATCTGAACCAGGTTCTCCTGTCATTTTTACGCCATAATATTAGCAATAGCATTAATCAATTCAGTCTCATCTTGAGGAGGGAGGGGGGGAATTCTGCAAGGACGAAAGCAAAACACAACCAGCAAACTCCTGCTCCACGGTCAGCAGAGCCACGTGCCAATCCAGCTACAAGACCTCGCATTTAATGTGACTCAAGGGTGTCACTGCTTTGACAACAGATGAGTCAAATGGAAATATGTCACTCACTCGGCGCTCTTTGCCAGCCTCGAGATAAAGAAACCCGTAAGGGCTGTTTTTTCCACCTCCAGATGGAATACCTTCCGATAGCTGCAACGCCGAGCCCCTGGGCTCTGTGCTGCGTGGCTGTGTTTATTCTGCCTTCAGTAGGGGCTCGAGGGAAGCAAGGCAGGCGGGCAGCTCAGTCCAGCTGCTGCCTAACGGGCTGTGAGGATGCAGGCTGCATCATCTGCACCTCCTCGAAAGTTGAACAGCAAGTTAAATAAAACACGCAGGAACAACCAGCACCAGCACCTACAACTCTGCCGCAGGAGGCCTCTGCAGTACCTGCCAGGAATCCCAACCAGCTGCTTCACAAATGCTAGCTGAGCTGATTTCAAGGCTTTTTTGTGATGGCCCCAAGCCTCGTTATCAGAAGGTGACTCTCCATGCTGCTGGTGCCATACACTTCATTTAGGAAGAATGGGGGATGTAAAGACAAACACTCTTGTCTTTAAACCTGGAATAGAAATAGTCTCTCCAAACAGCTTAGCTGATGATTTTGTTCACGTTGTTAAAGATAAAACATTTTTATCTCTTCTCCGTTCTATATCGTTATAAAGGAGTAAAACACAAATTCTGTCAGCAAAAGAAAATACGGACAACATGGGAGAGAGCAGAGCAAGGCGCACTGACTCACCTGCCCCTGGGGTGCAGCTCTGCGTCCTGCCCCTTTCCTTCTCCTGGGGGCAGTGGCACGAAGCAGCAGGACAGAAGGCTCTGCTCATACGTCCCCTCTGCCCACGCAGCCCAGATGCCGTGCAGATGTGATGCAGCAGATCTGGCACTTGACCTAATGAGCTCCACTGAAGGAAACACAGGGAGCAGTTCTCCTTACAGCCCTGCATAAAGCCCTCCTGCTGCGAGACGCCAGTTTGTGGGACGCTGTAACTGAGAGGTTTTACCACCCAGAGTCTTCCCCCACCATTTCCAATGGTGATATTTCTGAGCAGAGCATCCCAAGGTGACACCCCTAGCAGGGCAACCACTGCTCTTCTCAACAAAGCGACAGACTGGAATGGGAAGTTGGAGCAACACAGGAGCTGCACTACGAAGGTTAGTGCTTCAAGTAGGCTTGCCCAAATATGCACTTCCCTCTGACAGCAATTGCGCGTGAGATGAATGTGCTTTATTGAAAAGCCTATTTATAGGAATTCAACGTAAGCAAAAGACAGCATTAAAAATGGTTCTGTAGTCCTAAAACAGACAGAGGACACACGGTGTCCGTGCTAAACGCATTTCTGAGGATAGTCACTGAAAGATGTTTGCCATCTTAAAACGCGGAATGAGATTTTACAACCCAGACACAGGTTAGACAAACAGTGAGTCCCAAGAGCCCAGATAAACGATGCTTAAAACACAAGAAGGGTGGGAAAACAAAGGAGCTATTTGCTCCTCTCCTTCTCCGCCAGTTTGCTGCGCTGGACTCACAACAGCACTGTGCTGACACTGCCCAGAAAGCAGAAGCACACCTGGCCACAGTGCACTGCCTCTCCCACTGAGCCCCGACCTGCAGCATCTCACATGGCAGCTGCCAGGCTGTCCTTGCTTAGCACAGAAGCCATCTCCCACCTTTGTTTATAAAAAGCCTGGAAAGCCAGCCATGGGAGCACCACGGAGGAGATGCCAGGATAACAGATAGAAAGCAAGTGTGTGGCCTTTCTCCCCCTCTTGTTATTTTTCACAAAATATCTCCCAGTTATTTACACAGCCATGTCCTGAACTCCCCCTCCAGTCTCCCAGCTTGCTGCTAACCACGTTCTGTTAGAGATGACACGAGTCTGGCTCTTGGTGTGTCGAGGTGGGAAGGTCCCACTGGGGGGGCAGTGCTCCGGCTGTGGAGCAGAAGGCACGAAGGAGAAGCAGGAGCTCCATCCCTCTGCCATGCAACAGAACCGACCCACACAGGGGAGTGGGTGACTGAACAGCTTGGGAACACCCACCATTGCTTCCCCACCTCGGATCCAGAAAAAAAAAAAAAAGATGTAAATATTTAGATTTCGATTTCAACTGATACGATAAATATAAAACGCCTATTTCCTTCTTAAAAAAAAAGTATATATAGCATTAAAGTGGGTAAACCACCCACACAGAGAAAAAGATTCTGCGGCGAAGAAGATTCTACCTTCAGAAGGAGGTTAGCTAAGTTACACTACGATCTTAAAAGAAACTGCAGTCACAAGTCATACCCACTGTGCAGACTCTGGTGCACAGAACACGTGGCTGCACACCAGCACACAAGGACCATTCTGCAGCCCAGCTCTCAGCCCCTGCGCTGCCCTCCAAGCCCTGGCCCAGGAGGTTCCACGGAAGCTCCAAGTCCTGCAGCAGAGCCCCGAGGCCAACCCTGCACAGAGCTCACCCGGCCGTGCCCTGAGCAGCCCGGGTCCCTCTGCAGCCTCTTAAAGCACATCGTGGAATTACGGCCCCGCCACGCTGCCAGGTTAACAGTCGTGCAAATATCAAACTCTGCTGCAGATAACAAGGCCTCACCCCGAAACACTGATACGGCAGAGCACTCAACGTGCTGACGTGATTACACATTTCCACCTTCCAAATTAGTTACTGCAGACGAGAAACGCCTTTTCAGGTCACTGCTCGATGGGTTAAGCCAGCTCATATGCTTGAATTAGCATCCCGTGCTCGGCTGTCCTTATGCAAGTGCCAGCAATCCAAACCCATCCCAGCTCACTGCTCTGCCCTTACCAGGAGCAGCTCCACGTTGACACAGCACAACCCCACGTGCACCCCTTTCAAGCCGGCGCTGTGTTCGCTCTCTTCAGGCCCAGCACAACGCTGTGGCACTTGGATTTCTCCCAACACCCAGGAAACAAAGCTAAAAATAAAGCGTTTTATTTATCCCCTTCCTCCCACCCGTTAATTACTCCATTTGCACTCACGCTGCGCACTTCGGGATATTTCTGCTTATACGAGGCTTTCGGGCTCAGAATTCAATTGAGACACATCTCACTAATCTGGGGATGAACAGAAATATTAGCTGCGCATCCGTATCAGCCAACATCAGAGTTTAGTTAGAAAATATCTCCACCACTTCGAGAAACTGGCTATTAAGAAAGCCATGTTTTTCTTACATCGCTTTTTCCTCCTAAGAAAATGACAAGACTTCTGTTCAGGTGTGGGGGGAAATTAGCGCTGGTTTGGATTAATTGGAGGCACCTTTTTTGCATTATCTTGCCTGCAGGATGTGATGCTCTGTCTGGCCAACCTGCAGGAGCAGTACCTAATTTTGAATAGAGACTGCACACCTAAACTCAAAGCACCGCTGCCAGTTGTAAGTTTTGAGTATTTCTTTAAATAATCATCATCAGGACAAGATCTCTGCAAACTGGTTGCTGTCAACTAAGATGAGAAGTTGGATGAAACTCCCACGTGCCAGCTGGCAAATCACAATAAACGCTCAGGCTGTTAGATGCACAACAAGCAGCAAACACGCAGAAATACAGCACTGACAACAGAAGGGGTATTTCAGCACAAAGTTATCATCCTGGGAGCAGCTCCTTGGGACCAGGAGTCCCGCACTGAGGACTGCGTGCTCTCCTGATGTAACAGCAGAGATTTGAGCAGTTATGTCTGGCTGCTGTCAGCGTGGCCTTGGAGTTCACCATTCAGACATCATTTATGACCCTCCTGCCAAGTTACTTACAAAATATTGCTAAAGGATACCAGAGAACTGTTTACTCAAACCATTACTGTTTCCTGAACACAGATGCGAGAAAAAGTTATATTAAGAAGATAAACAGCTGCTCCTGTATGCTGTTTAAATGGTAACAAAAGCATCTAAGGGCCATAAAGGGAATAGTAAGGGAATTAAAACGCATTTTTATGCACGAAGATGGCTAACATCCGTACATTCATTAAAGCGGTATCAACCATGCTTTTAATTAAAAGTTGGTGACAGAAACTTAAACGTGATTAATGCAATCCACCAGCAGCCCTGCCAGCAGCCCAGCTCTGTCAGAAGCGCGGCGAGCTCCGCTTCAGGCCCTGCTCCGTTCCTTCGCCTCCCTCTCACGGACGCCACAAGCAGGGCACGCCGCAGGGACCACAGAGCAGCATTCCTCTGCTAGCAGCAAGCCAGGGCACGCCTGCAAACACGCTTCCCTGCTGGGTCATTGCTCGCTTTGTGCGTCCCGAAGGCAGCGCTGCGGTGACGGCGCCGGTTACCTGACGCAGCCGGCGGGCACCTGGGACACGAGGGTCAGGCGGGGCTGAACGCGGGCAGCAGCCTCCTGCTCGGCAGTGGAAAAACGCCCCGGTGCCGCTGCTGAACTCTGCAGCACCGCCAGTCCTGCGTTACTCAGGCGCGAATAAAGCACGCAGCAAAAAGGCAGCAGAGCGCAGAGACGGCGCGGAGAGAGGCAGGGCAGGACGAGGAGGAGTCCTGCAAACCATGTGCGTTTATTTCAGCGTGAAGTCAAACCCTGCCTGTCCGGGCTCTCACACCTGCAAAGGTCCGTCTGCCAGCGCGGCTCAGCCGCTCTCCTGCGCAGAGCGGTAGCGAATGACGCCGCCAAAGAGCGAAGGCATTTTTCAGTGCCGTGTCACGGGATCCCAGCACCATCACCCACCTTGCCGCTCCGCAGCGCGCGGAAGATGGAAGTTCTCTCTTCAGAGCGGTTATTAACGAAGGGAGAAGCTCTCGCTCCTCCCCAAACGCACGATCTGCATCGACTTCACCTCAGCCGCGGCGACGCGAGACAAAAGCGCGGCAGGGCCGAGCCGCGCGGCGGAGGGCAGCGCGCCAGGAGGGGGCCGGGCTGCCGGGGGGGAGCGGGGATGCGGGAGCGATGCTGCCCGCGGGGCTCAGCAGCACCGAGAGCCCCGGGCCCCGCGAGGCGCCGTCCCACAGCCGCGCTCTCTCTCTCCGTCCCGCAGCACGCAGCGCTCAGGGCTCGGCCGCCTCCCCAGCTCCTCGCTGCCCGCAGAGCCGAGGCCCGAAACGACCCCGCGGGGCTGCCCTCAGCCGCACAGCCATGCAGTCATACAGCCGCACAGCCGTACCCCGAAGGCGCTGCTCCGCTCCCGGCGCCTCCGGGCGGTTCCTCCGGCAGCGGCTGCGCGGGCGGCTCCTTCGCCCCCTCCTCGGGGCAGGGCTGGGCTCGCCGCGCCCCGACCGCTCCCCACGACGCCGCGAAAACGAAATCGAGGTCAATCCCGGCCCGAGGGATGGGGACGCGGCGGTGGCGGGGCTCAGAACGGCCGTGCCGACCCGGCGCCGGGCCGAAGGCCGGTCTCTCGGTCCCGGCACGAGGGAACGCGCTGCGCCGCGCCCACCCCGAGCAGCGCCCCGCTCTGCGGAGCGAAATCGCTGAGGCGCGGCGCTGCCATGGCTGCAGCGCCCGGGAACGGCGGTGCGGCGGACGCATCGCTCCCGTCGCGGACCGCCCCGCTCGGGAAACTTTCACCCCGCGGCCCCCGGCCCCGCCGAGGCCCCGGCAGGAGCCCGCAGAGCCCCGCGCTCGGGGATCCCGCAGCGCCTCGGGCCCGCACCGCCCAAGGGTCCGCCCGCCGCCCCCCGCCCCTCCCCTCCCTTCCCTCACGCACCGGCTGCTCCCGGCTCCCGCTGCCGCCGCCTACGAGCCGCTGCCCGCCGACGTGCCCGCGCTCCGCTGGCATAATCCCCGGCGCAGGTGGGGCCGGGCGCGGGCAGCTCCTCGCCCGCCGGCTCTGCGCGGCTCCGCGCTGCAGGGGAGAGCGGGGAAGGCGCGGAGCCCCGGCCCTGCCCCGCGGCGGCGGATGGCTTTATCCCCCGGGCCGAGCCGTGCCCCCGCTGCGGGGAGCCGCCACTTCCTTCCCCGCGCCGGGCCGGCGCTCCCGCACGGCGGCGGGTCCCGGGGTTATGGCGCCGCCTGGCGGCCGCGCGGAGCAACGCCACGCGGGAGGGGGCGGCCCCGGAGCGGGGGCTGCGGAGCGCGGCTACGGCCGGCAGCGGGATCGGCGGCAGGTCGTGTTACGCGTGCTTTGTATGGAAGGGGAAGGAAGAGAGGTTTTCTGTGCCAGCAGCGACACCTCGAAGGCTGGGTGGTTTGTTACCGTGAAGAACGACACCTTGCAAGGGCACTCGGCGACCGAACGACGCCGAGGTTGAGCAAAAGCTGCAGCTCCTGTGCAGGCGGTGAGCGGCTGGAAGCTGCGAGGGCAGGAAGGCACGAGGGCGGCGGTTACAGCCACGCTCAGAAGCGGCATCAGCCTCTGCCGCTCTTCTTGTACAAAAAGGCAACGCGTTTGTGCTGAAGGCAACGAACTTCACAAAGGTTTATTAAAAAAGATCTAATAAGCCGTTGTCCAGCAGAGCGCACAGCGACTTCAGGCGTGTTTTCCAAACGTGCCCCACTTTTCCTTCTTTTGATGCTTCGGGGCTGATTGTTCAGGAGCGCCGAGCATTCAGGCTTCCCACTGCTTCCATCGGGAACTGCAGCTCCTCTGCCCCGCGGAAGGACGAGGCTGAAGGCACCTCGCAGCTATTGCTAAAAGGTTGGCCTAAAAGTTCACTAAGAGCAACACTTAGAATCTTCCCCCCCCCCCCCCCCACACACACACACCCCCTTCGGTGTTCGAATAGAACAGAAATAGCCTGAAGAGCTCCAACAGATGGAGGAGGGCTTTTGATTAAAAAATAAATTGTGACTCACGCTTCAGTTTTCTGGAGGTAATAAAAAAAAGAGTACATGAATATGAATAGTGCTGGAGAGAATGGAATGGAAATAAAGGGAGGGCATAAGGAAAGGCAGGGATAGAGCTGAATTGATTTACCTGCTCCTTTCAAATGCCTGTCAGGAAAATGGTGCCTGTTTTGCAGCAGCACTGATGAAAGAAAACAAGACCATTAAATGGACCCGAGTGAAGTTTTGTGCTGATGGATGCCTTACAAGAAATCCTGCTGGCTCAATGGTGCTTTAGAATGGCACTTTTACACTCTACCTGTTCATAATTCAAAGTGGTGGAAAGAAACTTATTCAGCTGA